ACACAAACAGAGAAAAGCCGTATTAGCCAGTTTAATTTATTTAAGAATCTTACAAAAAAAAAAGAAAAAAACAAAAAACACGACAACAAAAAACTACAGAGTTTGTTATGCTTCATGGTTGATCGTTCTTTACTTGCAAGGGTAAACCTCGCTAAATGCAGCCAACACATGTTTATTGCATGAGACCCAATTTTTAAAGTTACATATCAGAATGGTTGGAACAATCGCTTCTGGACACTCGGTACTGGATTAACCGTGGAAGGCTGAATGAAGCAGTGCAGTATCATTGAACAGTGCGTACCCTTCATACACTAACGGACATTCAAGACAGAGGAGCAATATAAAAAGGGAGATATAAAAAAAGAGAACCAAATAAAAACCACCAAGAGTTTACATCCACCTTAGTTTCAAATTGTCTTTGGATTCCATCACACGTTGTCTCGAGATGCACCAAGTCAGATCAGTAAAGGAGGAAGACCTATGCCTACTTAGTATAAAAGTATCCTTTGCTCAGCAGAGGTAGAACCTGGCAAAAGTTTTATTGCAGAGATACAGCATACCTCTTCCCACCTCTCATGGTTGATGGTAGATACAAGTGGTTATTGAAAAATAATGATCAGTAGTTTGCAAATTCCGTATAAACCATGAACAGGATGGTTTTTCTCCCTAATGGCGGTGAGACTACAACGTGCTAGGTAGAAACAAGCTCTCTGCCCCTGATGTGGAAGTCGGGAAGAAGGCTCAAAGCTTCTTTATCCTCTTCAGTGCTACAGATGCTGTCACAGCAAGAAAGGCCCTAGGGGCGGGGAGGTGGAAGAATGGGGCGTGCTCACTAAGGCGCCTGCGGACTGACCGTCAGACCCGGGGGAGGCCTGAGCTTCGAGAAGCAGAAGAACCAACTTGGCCAGGCTGCGTCCCTTGCTGGGCTCACGCCGGCGGGCGCTCTGAGCTGTCCCGCCACTGCAGCGCCCGGGACAGCGGCTGCACGCTGCCCCGCTCACCCCTCCTCGGGCACCAGAGGCAGGGAGTGGGCACGGTGGGTCTGAGCCGGGACTCCCACTGGAGCGCATCTCTGACAGGCCCTAATTTAAGATATGCTAGGTTCCAAAGGCTTATCTAGATGCAGACAACTTGTAAACTTTCAACAAGTCTAGCAAGTTCGACAGGTAAATGAAACATGTACATGAGTGAAAGGCCCAAGAAATGCTCATGGCAAGCCCTCCTGAAAGTCATGGAGGAACATTTTCTTCAAAGTGCAAAATTTTTAAGTAAAAAAACCCAATGTCTGCCTCCCAGCAGATAATTACCACCGTTTTCATGAGCCACCCCTGGGTCTTCCCTACTGGCAACACTCATTATCAAGAATGCCTTAATCCAGCTCAGCAATGAGGTTTCTGGCTGCTCCATCCAGTCAAGGGCAACTCCCAGGAGTATACTAGTGGTGAGAGAGGCGCAGGGGAGCCTGCTGGCCAGTCCACCCAGAGTTAATGGCCTCTTCTACCCTCAGCACAGAATCAACCCATGAACTGAAGGCTCGTGGAAGCCTCCAGAGCAGTTGTGTTGCTCTCTCTGGGAGGACAACTGTTCCTTCAAGTACATTCTTTATGGAGACCCACATGTACCGGGCCAGTCTCCCCATCCGCTATTAAAATCCTTAACAGGTGAGAACAGAAGCAGATTACCTGTGCTCACTGCAAAGTAAACTTCTGATTTCTTATTTGCAGGTTAAAAGTATAGGCCTGACTTCTTTAAAAAACACAGAAACTTTGCAGCCAGCAGCAGGCCATCAATTACTGTCAGATCTGCAAGATTTTCTTCTCAGCTGGAGAGCCACACAGATGAAAACTTTGGTACAGGCCTGAAAAACTGTAAGGGTAGGAGCAAGTCGGGTTACTGAAGAGGTACATTGGATCCCAAATGCACTGAAGAAGTTAGAGGAGCTTAAAGGAAGTCTTGGGAGGACATTTTTTTTATGTGAAAACATCAGGCTCACTATAGCTTCCAAAGAGCAACATAAATGAGCATAACTAGTCATATAATGACAGTATCAGAAATTGCACTCAAGTACATTCCCCCCAATACAATGCATTGCACACAGTAAAAATTTGTAATAAAAATGCAAACACAATCAGGCATGTTGAAAAATATTAACACAAAATAGACATAGGAATTCTATAGTAAAGATGCAAAACTGAATTCTAAAATATATGAACAAATTCAACTAAGAAGTTTTCCATACTTTTGTATAAAAAAAATTGTAAGATGCCCCATATGGGAAGTCAAGAAAAGAATAAATAGGATTGAAGGGAAGAGGGAAAGGGAAAAACAAGTGGGTGGGGTCCCAATTTACAAGAAATATTTACATTCAGAATTCAAAAGAACTCAACATTTCTATATATACACATTTATGTACATATATATAAGTACAGCCTAAAATAAGAAGGTGGGTCTTGGATTTCACCTCAAGTACTCAGAAAAAAACTACTAGCTAGCTTGAGTTGCGGGTATCTAGATGTGTTTCCTTCACTTATATGCCCTTAAAAGACACTGCATTTGTATTCGATAATTGGCATGCCATGAGGAACTTTCAGAAACCGTTTCTGCTTGCAGCTGCAGCCACGACATGAACTGCCTGCCGTACTCCAACAGCAAAGTATGCACAGCCCTGTGTGTGGGTATGTGCTTAGCCAGGGAGAGCCCAGACACAAGGGTGTGATGTGATGCCCATCATCACAGTGGCTACCTTTGCTATTGGGATGCCTGAACTAACCCAACGTCCGGCTAACTGGATCCCAGCCTAACAGCGACTCTTAACGTAGCACCATTCTCAGAAACTACCAAGTATCACTCAGGTACGTTTTTAAAGTAAGAGATCGTAGACATGGACCTTCCTCTTAATATCTTATCAAGAAAAGGACCAAAAGGGAAAATACTTTTTCTCTGCTCCTACTTTCATAAACTGAGATGCACCAATCATTTGTAACCTACTGCTTTTTGCCTTCGTGCTAACTGGGAAGTAGAGGGGGTGGGGGAAAAGACTCGCATTATACAACTGTAAATGCTGTCCTGGTGCCCTTTCTGGTCGTGCCTATTAGGAGTTCTAATAGTATCACATGGAGGCTAGCAAATGAATGCCCCAGGGGCTGCAGACACAAAACCTCTAAGATGTTACAGTCCCCCGGAGCTTGGTAATCTAGAACTTTTACCTTTATAGATGAAGCACACTAAAATGAAAAGGGTTCCTGTTGCAGCCAAAAAATTTTCTGAAGTGCTAATTAATTGGACTGGAATAAATATATGTACACAAACACACACTAGTACATTGCTTTGGATGCAAGTTCTTGCTAACTTATATACAGATGTAAAGAAAAAATATTGAAGAGTCTATCTGCAATATAGCAGCAAAAAGGGAAAATTGCTTAAGATATTTACTTTTTGATCAAGTTGTGTTTAAATACTCCGTTAATACTTTGAGGAATACACATCATTGATGCCTATATCTGGATAATCCCACTGAACTGCAGATAGAGACCTTGTGGTGTGGAGATTGCTAAACTCGGGGAACATGAATTACCCCCAAGATACCATCTGAGCAGCTCTGGACTCAGAAAGTGGTTTTCAGCACAACTGACACTGTAAACTCTGAAAACACGAACATGATTTACAATCTAATCTTTTGTGCTCAGAGCCATATTGCTAAAAAGGGAGGAAAGGCATTGCAGGGGCCAAATGGACTCACATCGGGTTCAACAAGGCCCTGGGGTCAGACGTGGCATTCAGATCCTGAAATACATGGACCTGTTTTACAGAAGTTAGCTGTTGTTAAGACTTGATTTTTTGACAGAGGAGGACCTTGAATCCTGGGTTTTCCCATGCTGGCCAACCTGAACTTGCTGACTTAGATAAGGGCACAGTGTAAAGGTCCTATGTTCAGCCTCCAGAGAGGGGGATGAGCAGACTCTTGGTGCTCAACACACTCCACGCCATGATGGGCATGATGGGCAGGGGCATGTGGCACCTCAAATCCCCCTCCATTTACATTGGTCGCCTTTTTGAGGTCTCCTCGGAGACTTTTCAGAGGCCTTATTTCTGGACCTTATTTTTAAAAGCAAAACAAAGCTGTTCCTCAAAGAACAGTACATACATATGCCCTTTGCATCAAGATAGCTGTTCAAAAGAGCAAACATTACATCAGGAATTATGGGCGTCAACCAACTGCATGCTACAGAATTCTCATACTGATGCTGCTTGGAAATAAGCATACCCTGCAAAAAAAGATACCCCCCCACATAAAAGAGGAAGTTGGGCCAAGAGCCTATGAGAATCTGTCTTCCCTAACCCTGCCATTTTGTTTCACTGCGGGGAACAGGTCTGTTAGGGTTCCCTTCCCCAATTCTATTTCACTTTAGTGTGTTGATGGACACTGAACAGACTACCGGTTTAAAAAGACAGGAATTAACTGAGAAGTTTTGCTGCAGGTGGGACAATCTGCTCTTGGCTGCCAGCTGGGTCTAGTGGCCCTAACAAGGAACACTGGTTGATATTGAGATGGATCACTGCCTGAGATAGAAAGCCTAGACTGAGGATAAAAGTTGCATCCACTTGGCAAAACATGCCAAAGAACCGAAATTACTGTCAATGTGTTCTCCTAGGTATTAAGAATAAATAAATCTAAAGGAAACTTATGGTAAACTTGACATAAGCAAACTCAGGCTTAAAGAAACACAGGAAGATGAAAGCCCTAGCTTTCCATCACTGAACATCCATCCCACCTGGTGCTGCTAGAAGTTTAAAAAGTAACAAAAGAGAACAATTCAACTTGAGCAACATTCAAAAGTACTATCATTTCACCCCTTCCTCAATACCATCTCAATTTTGAGGGCGAGCCCAATAGAAGCCCAAACAGAAGGCTAACTGGAATGCTGAGCAACACACAAGTTCTGCAGAATCCCCGTCACAGACTGCTTCTGCAAGTGGTGAGGACCTAAACACGAGTCCACTTCTGGTTAGTATAATAACTTTTTATTAGACATCTACAAGACTGTGGTATCTTGTAGCTTTTGACCAGGTTTATACAATCTCAATTTTTCAATAGTGCAACCTGTGCAAGCAAAAAAAAAGGGGGGGGGGGAGGAAAACAAAAGGAAACAAAAAAACCAATTGTCCCCTCACTTGTTTTTATAAACATCTATTATAGGCGAAACAAAACTTACCCATATTATAGATAAGTGTCTATTCACATTTGTACATTACCATTTTTAACAGCTTGAGATAAACTCTACAATGTCTTACAACACATTAAACAATATTCAAGTTACTGGGTAACAACAATAACAACAAGAAATAAACATACAGCAGAAGCCTCAAGTGTCTCCTCATTGTCTAGTTTACAGCTCAAGTACGGTTTCCTTTTTTATGAGTGACAAATTAAGATAATGAAGTAAAAAAAAAGATTGTTTGCAAGATGGAAGCCAATTTGTACTTCTAAAACTATCTTTAAGTTAAGGAAAATGTAATTTTAAGAAAAGCAGGCTTGTAGCCGTTTCTGCAGCACACATTAGGAATACTATTAATACATTAAAATTAACTTTTTAAGAGTTTTACCACAAAAAATGTTATGTACTCATTACCTTGACAAGAAACTTGGGGCAGGGAGAATAGGCCTGGGGGTGGGATTTGCAGGGTGAGAAGCAATACCCAGGTATAAACACTATAAAAATGCAATAACCAATGCTGTACATCTACAAAGTTTCTCTCCGTTACTTGACTCGTTTTAATCTTGTTTACACATGCTTTCAAAGACATGCACTGTCAGAACAAAAACTAGAAAAAAACCTGAATGCATGATATGCAACCTTTCATTTCATGCTTTAATAAACCTATTGTTTAATAAGTTGGAAAAAGAAACCAATATATATTTTCTATATTTATAGACTCAAAACACATGCATCTGGGGATAACTCCCACAGCAATTGCATGGATGTACTGCGTTAACCCTGAGCACTGTATAACATAAAAGTAAAGCCAGTTTGGGAAGTTCCAAGCATTTTTAAACCAATTGTGGTTTGTAGCCTTTAACAAACTCACAAACAAACAGACACACACGCACGCGCACATATCCCTCTGCTCACCCAAAGTAAAAGCATATGGGAAGTACCATGGGAAAAGCGAAGGAAAGACATATGTACCACCATCGGCACTGCTGATTTTCAGTTTTGCTATCTATTCCAGGTTTGTCCTTATTCCCAAAAAAATTAACTAGAGAGAGCACAACTGAAAAAAAATTATAATTCTTTGGAAACTGTCCCTGATTTTTATGCAAATGATATGCTTCAACAGCATTTCAGATACATCCATGTCGAAACCTGTCTGTTCTTATGCGTTGCTCAAGTTGGCGATGCTCTGTGGGTGACGCTGCTGCCAGAGCTGTTTCTGTTGGACCGCAAGCTGTTGAGACTGGTCTGAAGTTGACAGGAGATTTACAAGAGGAGACACACAATTTGCAGGAATGATCAAACCTGCAATTAGAAACAAGAATTTAGGAAGGCTGCATCCAGGAGAGCTGTATTTTACAGCTTCACAGCACATTCCAAATGAAGCATAGTATTAAGTGTAACGAAGAAGACGCCACACAAAAACTAAATGAATACCTAATAACTGAACTGGCCCCTTCAGAAGTAATCCAATTCCTCGGCAGCGTTACCCACAAATACCTAAGCATATGCACGTCTACGGCAACACCACCCTCTTGGTGGTGGACTAGAAGGTCAAGTACAGTCTCTCTCTCTCTCTACTATCTTTGTAGCTCCACAAACGCACGTAAACACAACCTTCTTTGGCAAGTACTAATGTAGCAAAAGACTACAGGATCGTGGCTGCAAATTCAAATGCTGACTGAAGCAGCCAACTTCCAAGTGGGCACAGTACAGATGTTAGTAAACTGTGGAAAGTATATGTCCTGGGTAAAGGAACTTTAACTCCTCTCACCTGGGAACAGGGGCTCAAGATTTCACATAAGCTGGTGCATGTGCGCACCTTTTGAGAAAACGAAAAACCAGGCTTTTGACTTTTAAATGGTGGAAACTAATTCAAATCCAAACTTGCAATAACCGAAAATATTTGAGGGTCAAAAAAATGTTCACGGACTCTGGCCCACAGACTGCCCATCTGCAACCCATGATAAAAATGGAAGGTTGTGGCAAATGAAACAAACATGAAGCAGCAGGGATCCCTGCGAAGCCTGTCAGTGAGTGAATGGTGGGCACAGCTGGCCCGCTCTGCCCATGCTCTCTGCACAACTCCAAGCCGGCCTCTCTGCACAGTAACTTTAGTTTCAGTCTCTATTTGGCTCAGTGAATGTAAAACAGTAGACTTCAGGGACGCCTTGGCAAGAAGCTGGGCTTAGTCTTTACACCAGTGAGGAAGGGGAGCAGGAACAACTGAGAGCAGCATAAAATAAATGACCATATCATAACTTAAGCCAGAATCAACAAAGGCTTAACTTCCATTCAACCTTTCAAGAACATATAAATCAAGCTCTATTCCACTACTGCAATAGATACTGAGATTTTAAAATGTAAGAATCAAAATAAAAAAAAAGGATCTGATTTTTTCCAACAGCTCAACCCCCCAAAATTAGACTCACCTACAATCCGTTGTCCATCCTCTGTTCTTAGCCGAACTATCTGCATCTTCACATTTGTGCCACTGACAGATGCCAGAACACCTTCAACCTTTGTCCAGACACTCAGAACGGAGCCACATAATACGTAATACGTGCGGCAACGAAGACCTATTTCACAAACTAATCCCAAGCTGGCTTTTTTGCAGTTGCCACGCCTAGGACAGATAGGAGGGAAAATATATATGTATATACATACACACATGCGTGCACACACAAACACACACATAAGGCTTACAAAGTCTACCTATGTTTCAAGTGGAAAATGTCCTGGCACGATTTGCCTTTCTTTACTGACAGTTTCATAAATAACATCTTTTGGCATATTGGATTATCCTTTCCAATTTAAGGTATCACTGCTGATTTTTTAAGTTTCTAAGATTTATTTTAGAAAATAAAATTTCTGAGTCTTGACTCCTTGTAAAAGGTTTGACTTACTGGTTTTGATATCCATTTAAAAGGTCTGTCATTTTAACATCCATTCATTTACTATATTGATGCTAGTTTATCAAATAATTTTGCCAGTTACCTCTAAAAATTATTAAACAACCAATATATTCTAAATCATGTAACCAGGAAAGGCTTCAGTAAACCAAAATAATGAAACCAGTAAATTTTTTAAAAACTGTAAAACAGGAAGACATGGTTTGTGGTTAAATTTACATAATTCATCAATAAAATTATCTTTCAAATAATAATTCAAGAGAATACATAGTACTGGGCACCTTTCTTGCTAATACTCAAAGCAAATGTTTTAGAGAGGATTTTTGTAAGTTAACTTTAAAAATATTTTATCTTGAAAGCTTTTCCTAATTTCCAAAAGCACTAATATGCTCTCAAAATGAAAACAAAACACTGCTCCTATCAAATTTATCTACCTACATGTGTCTAAAAACCACCTAGCTAAATTCATGTATATCCTATATTCCTTTTCATAAAGTGGGCTGGATATCCTATTGACTATTTAATGGGTAAGAAAACAGTGAGACCTATGATCTGCAGTGTATTAAAATATCCCATACAAGGCCCTGAAATGAACACTGTAAGAGGTATTTATTACACAGTGACTTGAAAGAACACCCCTCCAGCCAACCTAGTAGCACACCAGGATCACTTCCCAGGCTCAACAACACATTTTCTGGTGCTGTCAGCAACTCTTAGTTTCCTACAAGTTCCCTAGTCTTAAAAATGAAACTGATTTGGGACACCAGTAAAGTTTTTAAAAAAGAAAGGAAAAAGAAAATAAAGGAAGGGAAGGAAAAAGAGAAGGAGGGAGAAAAAGGAAGTCTTAACAAGAAGAATGACAGTCAAGTCCATACTGCCAGACAACAGTTGGTCAGAAGTAACAAAGCATTAGTGAAGAACAGAGGGGACACCTAGAGAGTGTGTGGTCCACAGACATACAACAAGTATTTCTGATAGAAGGAATGACACCTAACAGTAATCTGTTTGTAGACTTAGACAGCAAAAGAGCGAAGGTGCTTTTAAATTAAATCTTGATTACATTTTGGAAAATATGGTGAGAAACATGAAAATACTAACCAATAAGCATGAGTACAAGTATCTGCAGATGAATTATACTGATCTAACCAGTGGATCAGGGCATCATCTGAGACTACCTGTGAAAATAAGACAAAAATTCCATTGAAACAGTACTGTTTTAAACAAACTGGTTGCCTTCTTATGGTCTCTAAAGCCAACTTACAGTCATCTCGATACGGACAATCTGGCCCTTGCTACTGCCTGCATTTGCATGCCATTCATAAAGTCCTGCCATTAGGTACTTCCTACATAATAAATGTTTCAAATAGCTAGTTTAATTATAATTGTTTACAAGTGAAACTGGCTAGGAAGAACAGTAATATAAGGTAATACTAAAAATTAACAGTAATGTTAGAAAAAAACTTAGTCATTCACTGTTTTACTACAAATCACTGCAAAGTATAAATATGGCGGTTCTAATTTCTGTAGTTAGCACTGGAAGTTTCCTTTTTTGACAACACAAGTTGTTTCAAATAATCGTCGTACAATTTTCTTAATGGTTGATAACATTAAGACTGGGATTTTAATATAACAACACTTGACAACATGTTTTCTGAAAACAATTTTCCAGTAATCAAATAGAAAAATTGACAAAATAACTTTAAATATAGATACATAGCTCTCCTAAACAGTTTCAATATATCATTATTAAAAAAGTATTCATAAATAGTATAATGTACAAATGAAAAAAATACCTTCTTATATTTCTTTTTTAGATCAGCATAAATTTCTAATTTGAGCTGTTTCCCAGTATTTGGTCTATAAACTAAGAAAAGCTTCTTTTTAGGGTTCACTTCTTTAACTAAGATGGCAGTTTTCTTGTTGTTCCTTATCTATTTAAAAAAAAAAAAGCGAGAAAGTATAAAGATTTGTGCTGTACACTTTAAGATAAACTTGTTGTTTGTACCATCATATTAGCAAATGCAATCCTTTGAAAGACTGTAATGCCGAGTAAGCACATGAATCTCTAACTGTGGGGGAGGACGGCAGTTGCTCATCTCCCTGAGTTTCACAAGGCCCCACCCAAATGAAAGTTCTGGGATCCAAATTGTGAGGTATGCTGAACACATATGCTGAGGGTCAAGATACTCCTTAGAAGATTGTTTTGAATAAAGCTTTAAAGCACAAATGTCCAGTGGAGACAATTTTGAACACGGACTTGTTCTAGTCCATGTTCTTGCCTCAGACTTCCATGAGGGAGGAGTCTAGGTAGTGGGGCAGGCTCTTTAGAGGAAAATCCTTTTACATCTACTCTATGTTTAAAATTTTTCATAATAAAACGTTGTTAAAAAATGTTCCTCTCGGGATGCCTGGGTGCCTCAGTCAGTTAAGCATCTGCCTTCGGCTCAGGTTATGATCCCAGGGTCTTGGGACTGAGTCCCGAATCAGGCTCCCTGCTCAGTTGGGAGCTGCTTCTCTCTCTGCCTGCTACTCCCCCTGCGCTTGTGCTTTCTCTGACAAATAAATAAAATCTTAAAAAAAAAAAAACCCTTCCTCTACTTGAAGTTACAATGAAACATAACCTCCAAGACAACGATTTTCATCACCCATGGTTCCCTGCATTCATCTACTAATCCATCAGGATTGTCTCTCCCTAGGGTTGCCATTAAGAGTGAAGTGAGAGGTCACATGATTTGTAAACAGTAAAGCTATGACAGGAAAAAGCCAAAATGTTGAGCAAACAATACATAAATATGTACGCAGAAGTGGAAGAAATGGATGCATCAGACAAACAACGTAACTTACATATATTTTTAATTTTTTAAAAAAGTTGGACTTATGGCAGAAATGTTAAGAGGAAGGAGTTATTAAAAGGCCCATTAAACTAAAGGAAAATTAAGATTAGAAAAATTAATATCTCCTCTAAGAATGGTGAATAATTCCTAAGCAATAATCTCTGGAGGAAAACTGAAGGAAAAAGAAAAGTTTCAAAGTAAAGAAACCGCCAGCTCCTCTACAAAACAAATTGCTCACTGAGCTACTTTTGATATTAAGATAGTTCTTACACTGATAAAAGAAAAAAACTTAGTATTTTACTTTTCTCTTCATGGATATTAAAAATCCTTTATCGTTTACTTGTTCAAATGATTTAAACATTATTTATATAATTACCACAAAGTCTATAAAACAATGGTTAAGGTAAAAATTACATTTTACATGTTTTATCAGTTGATGTGAAACATTCAATAGAGGTATTAGAGTAGAGGACAGTGTTTAAAGCATGTAACAGTGCAAACTGTCTTTACAGTGTCAAGTTAGTTCAGTGTAATTACAAAATAAATCATCACACCACAGTGGAAATAAAAGTAATTCCGACATGGTTTTCTTAATGTTAACACATGGTAAACATTTGTAAAGCATGTCTGACAAACAGCTGCACCTTCCTGGAATGATGCCCCTTCTAAGGCTGCCTCTCCTCACATCCAATCACCTGCTGCCATGCAGGAAGTAACAAAGGACCAGTATTACCACATCCTTTCACTCAAAGGAAGATGACGATCAGCACTTTCCTCAAAATCTACCAGTGTGTAAATTCTGGCAATAATTTGGAATGAAAAACCAATAACCAAGATCCTAATCTGTACCAATCAAAATCCCATCTAAGGGAGAAATCTGAATAAAATCTGGTGAATTATGTAATAGTGATATAATGCTGGTTTTGATATGTTACAGTTTTGTAAAATGTTACCATTGGTGAAACTGGTGTACAAGGAACTTCTCCATGACTTCTCATAACCTCATGTGAATCTACAAATGTCTCAGTAAGATTTTTATTTGAAATATTTTAATTTACTTATTTTAGAGAGAGAGCGAGCGCGCGCACAACTGGGGGCTCGTGAGCCGGGGGAGGGGCAAAGGGAGTGAGGGAGAGAATCTCAAGCGGACTCTGCACTAAGCGCGAAGCCCATCGGGCTTCGATCTCATGACCCTGCAATCATGATCTGAGCCGAAATCAAGAGTGAGACACTCAATCTAATGAGCCACCCAGGCTCCCCTCAATAAGATTTTCAAAAAAAACAAAATAACTTAATCAGGAGCCAGATTCAGTTTGAGAGCTTTGCTCTTGGATCAAGGACCAGTAAAATCAGGAGTGCGACCAAACTGGGCCCTGACGCTCCTAAGTTTAAGAACAGTGGAAGCGAGAGAGGGAGGGAGGGGAAAAGGAAGAAAAAAACAGTAAGAAAGAATAGTAGAAACTATACATAGCCTACAAAACCTGAAGTACTTACTATCTGACCCTTTATAGAAGAAGTTTGGGGACACCTGCTCTAAAAAGCTTATTTATGGTCTCACACTGTCTCTGGCATCACCATATATGGTCTCTTTTATGCAGTTACATCTTGAACCTGGTCTTCGTTTACAGTTGGGTCTCTCCACAAATTTGGCAAATAAAAAAATGTGGTGTATACATACAATGGAACAGTGTTCAGCCATAAAAATGAAGCACTGGTGCAGCACCTGGGAGCCTCAGTCAGTTAAGTGCCTGCCTTCGGCTCGCTCAAGTCATGATCTCAGGGTCCTGGGATCGAGCCCTATGTCAGGCTCCCTGCTCAGCATGGAGTATGCTTGAGATTCTCTCTCTCCCTCTCCCCCTGCAAGCAGGCATGCACACGCGCTCTCTCAAACAGATCAATCTGAAAACAAACTAACTCAGGGAGTAATGCTTCCAAGAACTTGAGGATTCTACTGCAGAACAGTCTTGAAACAAAACAATTAGAGACAGTAACTAGTGAGAGGTGAGCATTAAATTTAATTACCTTCAGAGCTAAGATTAAGTATTAAAAGAAAAGCATACTTTCGAAGTGCCATACTCTGAGAATGCAGAAATAGCACAACTATGTTTTAATGAAATGAGAGAATGGGGGAAAGCAAAAAAATAAAAAGCTTACGCTTTTTTCCCAAAATTATTTTCAGGGAATATTGGGGTATAGTATCAGTAATCTTTTATCACCCTGTGTGCCGTGGAGAATAAAGATTATTACTGTAGAAGAAAAGGCACACAGATAAAGATCAGAGAAGAGGTGACATAAAAATCCCATAGTCTGGGGCGCCTGGGTGGCTCAGTCGTTAAGCGTCTGCCTTCGGCTCAGGTCGTGATCCCAGGGTCGGGCTCCCTGCTCGGCGGGAAGCCTGCTTCTCCCTCTCCCACTCCCCCGCTTGTGTTCTCTCTCTGTCAAATAAATAAAATCTTTAAAAAAAAAAAATCCCATAGTCTTTAACAGGAAAATTCAAGATACTGTACCAGGACTATGGATGATTACATATATGCATGCATGCATTTGTGGACGTGCGTATGCCTGTATGTAAATGTATGGGTATATACACACATACATATTTACACTTCCCTCCTCTTTAGCTCTACCCACAAATACTAAGGAATTCTTTACACTAACTAAAAAAATGAATCTTTCAGATAGAAAACTTACTAAAGGCCTACAGAACTAAATATGAATGCAGTCCTTTATGTAGGCCTAGAGAAGATCACTGCACCACGAAACAAAGGCGTCCAATTAACTAAGAATGTGTAATAATTCAAAACTCACACCCAATAACACCCCTCAAAATACATTAAATGAAAGTGTCTATAAAAGGACAAACCCAGTTACAATGACAAGTTATCAAAACAGAGAAAACCTAAACAACTGGAAAACCGGCACAGAGTAGATAGATAATTGCACTGCTGACAACAACAATGCATGATGTATCTGAACAGTTCACGTGGCAAGGAGACGAGTCTTACTTGCAACGACAAGTAAAAGCCATCATCTGGTCCTGTCAGCTCAGCCCAAATCTTGGTAGCTTCCTCCCAAGACATTCCCCTCTCCACACTAATCTGTAAAAGAAATAATACAACTTAAATGACACTCATTTCTCTGAGTGCCGATGACAGGTGGTTACGCCTACACATGCACGTTTCCCAAACTTACAGTGTATAACTCTACGTGACCAGAAGTGGAATATCCTGGAGTCAAAAACTTCTTAACATCACTTTTCCTCACTTTTTCATCTCCAGAACCAAGATCTTGAACAAGAAAAAGCAACATATAAACGGAAAAAGAACACATTATTAGGAATACACAGGACATTTTCAAAATTTCTCCACTTACCTAAAATTCCCATATCATATCTTCCATTTTTTTTGGCATTTTGAACAACCGCTGTAAGTGTGTCTGCAAAATACTGAAATAATGCATTCTGCTGATGTACTTCCATGCCCAAAATTCTATTTAAGAATTTTCCAATGTTGTTATAATCTGTAAGAACAAGATTATATGAAAGATTTCATGCATTCAAATAGCAATTAAAATCCACTTGCCCCTGGAACTAAAATAAAAACCAAAAAACATTTATTCATCTAAGCCTAGACCAAGTCTCACTTCTTCCACCACGGTCTTCCCTCACACCCACAACCTTGTACTGCTCCCAGAACAGAGCTATAATTTGACCATTTCTACCTCTAGCAATTAGCACGACCAATACATGCTCCAAAGATGGTTGCCTTATTCAATTTGTGCACTGTCAAACTTCACTTACTGAAAGTACAAACACAATTTAGCACATGAGAATGTTTGTTCTCCAACATGAAATCTTGACTTGTAAAAAGGTCTAAGTGCTGTAAGTCTGTGAAGCTCAACTTTGGGTACAAAATTAGAAGCTTCAGAAACATGGGAAATTACCAAAGTCTAAGCCTCAGCACTGGCTTCGGTATTTTTTAAAAGCAAAGCTGATCATACATGCAACTTGGGTTGAGAATTGCTGCTTTGCAGACAGAATAAAGGTTTAATCTCTTTTGAATAACCACAGTAGCAAAAACCACCAAGAGTGCTTTATGAGCACTCAAGAAGGAGGGATTGAGAACTACAAACTTGAAGCTTCCCCTTCAAGTTGACAAAAGCATAAAGAAAATGGTCTGTAATGATACAGCAATGGTTATGCCTTAGGTCTATATACAAAACTCATACTCTTACCTTTATCTAGAGTAAGAATTCCCGAACGATCTTCTACATTTATCAGGCCAACTCCTATCAGTCCTTGTCGAACATCTGTCAGAAAATTAAAAAACCTTATAACCCAAATAATTCAATGAGCTATTATCCGACTAATCAAACTAGATCAAGTTCTTTTTTCAGATGCTTAACCGACTGAGTCACCCAGGAACCCCAAACTAGAACACAAGTTCTAGCATTAAAACACAGCATAAGGTATTTTTCAGTTTCTATTAGCTGAATTAAATGGAACACACAGTCCTCAAAGGTGTTTTAGGCACTCTGAAATCCTACAGTACTCAAACTTCATACTGTATTATCTCTATACAGTTGTCACCTACAGAATATAAACAATTTTGAACATATAGACTAGCTGATTAAATAACTGTGTAAATAAGCTATTAATCTTGTTTCCCTCCCACACATTATCAGTATAGGCAAGGTGCTGCAAAAGATAAGCAACATGTGTAACAGTTAACATGTTCTGAATTGTTACTGAGAAGGCAGTTTATGGGGCTCTTTAATACGTGCCAACCCAGACTTACAGAACAAGGGCATTAAGAGAAAAGGGCAACAGAAAAGGAAGCATTATCATATCCTATTTACAAATTTAATAAATCAGCTAATACTCTGCTACATGCACAAAACTGTTTAGATTCTGCAGGTGACAACTGTGTAACCAAAAATTCTCCTTTTGGAAACCAATCTTATGGGGGAAAATCTATATAGGATAGCCGTATAATTTCAACACTGTTTGTGATGGTGCAAAAAATTGAAAACCACCTGAATACCAATAAGGGAATGATTAAAAAAAGAAACTACTGTATAAGCCAGCTGCAGAATATTATGCAACTGTTAAAAAAAAACGTTAGTGCTATAGGTACTGGGTTGTAAGAGGTGTCTGTCTAGGAGGTATGAAATGAGAAAAGTACACTGTAAGTAATATTAAATATTAGCAACATTTAAAAGAAAAGCTGTGTTTAAACAAACATGGAGAAAAGATGTGGCAGGTTGCCCCTGGTTCAGATTGTCAACACTGTGACCTCAGCAGGTGAGAATGGAAGGTGGGGGTTAAGGGGAGAACACAGACTCTTTATTACTTTTTTTCTCATTACTTATAGTAAGTAACTCATAATTTATTTTTCTTAAAGATTTTATTTCTAAGTCATCTCTACAAAACCCAACATGGGGCTTGAACTCACACCTCTGAGATCAAGAGTCACATGCTCTGCCAACTGAGCCAGTCAGGTGCTTCAAGTAACATGTAATTTTATTTTATTTATTTTTTTAAAGATTTTATTTATTTATTCATGAGAGACAGAGAGAGAGAGAGAGGCAGAGGGACAAGCAGTCTCCTGGCAGAGCAGGGATTCCGATGCGGGACTCGATCCCAGGACCCTGGGATCATGACCTGAGCCGAAGGCAGACGCTTAACCATCTGAGCCACCCAGGCGCCCAGTAACATGTAATTTTAAAATTACAAGTAAACGGAGTCATTTTAAAAACAACAAAAACAACAACAACAAAAGAAAAGCAGAGAGGAAACGAAAGGGAAGAAAAAGAAAAAAAAAGTCTTTATTGTTTTTTTTGCTTTGTTAATGCCATCAGTATGTCAATGTGGCTTGTACCAATACTAAACACTGGTTTCCAATTGGAAAGGACTTTCTAGTGAAAGTCCTAACTCTACAATGATAATATTTCAAGTATCTTACATCTACATATTTTCCAAAATATTTTCATAGCTTCCTGAATTATAAAATAAATGATCAAAACTCAAAACCATCTAGACTACTTACATTTATGGGCAAAATATATTCTACCAATTTCAGAGATAGGTCAAAGAGTTTCTGTAGCATATGCTGGACTTTTCTTTAATATGGAAATTTCCAAAAACATACAAATGCAAAGAGAACATTCTATGAACCATATACACGTATCCGTCACACAGTTTTAACTATGAATACACAGCCAATTTTGTTTTATCTACACCCTATGCCAACCTCCACAGACTACTTACATCGGTACTTTAAAATTAAATTTTAAGAACTGGCATAGTGATTTTAAATTAACAAAACCACTTTCTTCTACTAATCTAGTATTAACATGCAATAAACTGTCAAGAGCACAAAATACTTCACATGAATGAAATTTAATAATCTACTGATTATAAGAGGCCAACTTAGGTGTCTATTAAACTTTAATTTCTCAATTTTTATACAGTTTATGTCCAAAGAAAATGAAAAACAAAAGCACATATGTCAGAAGACATTTTATCCAGAATCTGTAAAGAACTTATCAAACACCCAAAGAACAAATAATCTAATCAAGAAATGGGCAGAAGACATGAACAGACATTTCTGCAAAGACAACATCCAAATGGCCAAGAGACACATGAAGAAGTGCTCAACATCACTCGGCATCAGGGAAATACAAAACAAAACCTCAATGAGATACCACCTCACACCAGTCAGAATGGCTAAAATTAACAAGTCCGGAAACGACAGATATTGGCAGGGATGCGGAGAAAGGGGAACCCTCCTACACTGTTGGTGGGAATGCAAGCTGCTGCAGCCACTCTGGAAAACAGTATAGAGGTTCTTCAAAGTGTTGAAAATAGAGCTACCCTACGACCCAGCAATTGCACTACTGGGTATTTACCCCAAAGATACAAATGTAGTGATCCGAAGGGGCACATGCACCCCAATGTTTATAGCAGCAATGTCCACAATAGCCAAACTATGGAAAAGGCCTAGATGTCCATCAACAGATGAATGGATAAATAAGATGTGGTACATATATACAATGAAATATTATGCAGCCATCAAAAAATGAAATCTTGCTATTTGCAATGATCTGGGTGAACTAGAGGGTATGCTAAGCAAAATAAGTCAATCAGAGAAAGACAAGTATCACATGATCTCACTGATAGGTGGAATTTGAGAAACAAGACAAGAGGATCACAGGGGAAGGGAGGGAAAAATGAAACAAGACGAAACCAGAGAGGGAGACAAACCATAAGAGACTCAATCTCAGGAAACAAACTGAGGGTTGCTGGAGTGG